ACTGACGTTAGGAAGATTTCTTCTTCAATGATTAGGAGTGTGGCTAAGGAAAACTTTATTATTAAGTAACTCAAGGGCAGTACTAGAGTTAGGAGTAAATTTATAGCTGAGATACAGTCAAAGATAGGTTGTTGCAATGTTTTTACTCAGTGGAGAACAGAGTTATTCATTAGGTAGAATTCAGTTATTGAAAGAGGGGGGTCCTATTTATGTGGACAATCTCCACTCTTTCCATAGTAATGCACAACCTGCAGTGGCTTTGGCATGTCATAAATATATTCTTGTAGATATGTTTGTTGAAGAGCTATCAAATGAGATGATGAGACAACATTTGGGAATGAGAGACTTTCTCAGCCTAATCGAGACAGCTTTTGTAATGACTAGATTTGAAATGGTACCTTTAAATAAGTTGCAGGAAATGAAAAACCCTGCAGCAGGAACTACAGTGGCTGTACCTTGCCCAGTGTGCCCTTCTTAAGTGAGATTAAGCTAAGTTTGAGCTTTGCAAAGGGTAAATCAGCAACAAGCACCTTCCTTCCTAGTGCTGCAAAAAAAGCCTACTGGATGCCAGTGAGTGGGCAGGGCTTGTCTGGCCTTCTCCTGACTTTTGTACCACAGCTAGTGCAAATGATGCTTCCACCCAGAGGACTGAGACATCTACTTGGGCATAGGAAATTTGGTCACTTCAAAGCTAACTGCCCATATAGGCGAGACAGCCAGTTTTGCCCAATTACATAGCATGTACAGGAAGGTTATCAACAAGCTTTAGCTGGTGCTGCTTTGTCTTTGGGAGGCTAATGTGGCCCAACTCAGGTCTGACCACAGACAGCTTGTATCAAAAAGTTTTTTTCAGAGCTTGATGATGCTTGCTATGTGCCTGTAAAGTTTCAGGAGTGAGAAATAGTTCCTAGTTGATGCATTAGCTGCCAGAACACTGGATGATCTCGCTGCGTATCAGGACCTCTGAGTGATGCCTCCACTCTGGTCAGTTGATAATGACTTTGTTCTGGCAATTGGTTATAGACTAGATATGAATACTGAGGCATCACTGACTATATCTAGGTAATGTTATCCACAAAATGAAAGTTGTCCTTGACCTTGGTTTGGCACTGGGATCCTAGGTATTTGATTTAGTGCAGAAATTACTTGTAAGTTTTGCAACAGGTAAACTGTATTTCCATGGAAAAGTTATTCAATGCTGACCAAATGAGTGTTTATTGCATAGGGAGTCATCGTACCTTTGATTACACAAATACTGTTCCATTATGTACTGCAAATAAGGTCTAGTGCACTGTAGTAGTTTAATGTTGTGATGGAGCCAGTACATGGAATGCACTGTTTTTTGACCAGAAAACAGATAGTATTAGCTTAATCAGTATATGTTCAACAGTTGATTTAGTCCTGGGGTTTTGCAATTTTGGGCAGCTTGGTATTCAGCTTCCCATTGATGTGGTAATTGAAGTGGTGGTAATCAAGACTAATAGTAACTAAGGCTGCTTGTATCACTGTGTCCGAAAGCTAATACGCTGATGTTGACACATTGGAGGTCACTAGTTGATAATTGTTCTAGCAATATAGATTCAACATAACAGCTGGTTGGATTGAATAAATGTAACTTGCCATCACATAGATATAAGCAAGGCACATCCAATTATACAACCACTGCAATAGGCTTCCATGAACACCAGGGATGTAGCCAGAACTAAAAATAGCAGATGTTATAGGACAGAATCACACAGCCTTTAGACATGGCATATGAATACTAAAAACTTGAACAGAATTACAAGAGTAGACCTAAAACTGCTTTCAATACTTGAGATGATTTGTAAAAGGTTTGCATCATACCATTCTGCTTGCAAAATGTTCTTGTCAGTTTTAAGAGGCGAATGGAACTTATCTTGCATTGAAAGGGTTGCAGTGGAAGAAAGGCCAGTGTAGGCTCATGACAATGTTTTGGTCACACATTTCAGTTAGAACCTCAGCTAGTATTTTAGTGAATAAGAAGTGCAGGCTTGAAGTTGAAGCAGGGAAATGTGCACTTATGTATATGTAAGTGGAATTTCTTGGTCAATTATGGGTAGAAGTGGAGTATAAACTGACCCTCTGAAGATTGCAGTGGTGTGACAACAGTACTTTGTATGTTTTACCAAATATAAACTTCATGTACCCAGTGTTTTATTTAGTTATACATAATTAAATATTCTCAGTCATGCAGACTGAAAAATGTTGTAAATACACATTGTTTCAGTACAAGATGCAGTTAAAATGCACAACAGTACAGACTGTAAGTGTATAGTCAGAAGGAGAAAGTAACATGTACATTGTATGTTTTTAAGTAGTCACTGAAAGAAGTTCAGTGCAAATGAGATGTTTGTATTAATGGATTCTCATAGTCAGCAACTGATGGTGGGACTTACACAGAGTTTTCTCTGTGTTACTTATTTGTGTAACCACAGTTTTACACACTTTTTTTTTGATACAGAAATTACACTTTCATAATTTAGTTATTGCCAAGGCATACTGTTAACTTATAAGCCTTCAATGTTCTTGCTTTGCTGAGATATAAACCAGAAAGTGAAGCCCACATGCCACACCCTATTACCATATCCTGTCCTTCAAAAAATGTCCATAATTCTCTCTGACATTTGTTATTGGATTAATTATAACCAATAGAAAGAGAAAATTTTAATTTGCTGAATTCACTATAAGGCTAGCTCATTCTGACAACAGTTTTTGAATTATGTGGTTTACTGTTTCTATTGTCAGGATCACCTGGACCAGACAAACAAATTATTTTAATCTACTTAAAGTTTAGTTAGAAAGCCAGTTAAATTATAACATTTACAGGATATTGTGTTCTCTGTGCATATTAGTATTTTGTGTTCTAAACTGTATATAAAATTGAGTAAAATAACCCTATCAAATACTAAGGATACATTTGTTTAAGACTTTGAGAAGGAAAAAGAAGTACAAGACCCAATCATTAGTACTAAATTTCTTGTTTTTTATCTGTATTTTTCATTTATTGTAATAATAATAGTAACTAAAATATAAAAATTAGAAACTCATTAGATTAGTTAATAAACTTTTAATGAAAAAACTAAATAAAATACCCTATAGCATTCACACATTGGGAGTGCAGGTGATTATAATTGGACCATACATGTTTGTAACTTGAGCCTTTCTTTACAAAGGGCTGCCCTGCTGTTATGAATTGCTTTTCCCATACTCTTAACTGAAGCTGTAAAGCAATAAACCTAAATGTCCAGGAGATTTGAGAAGTATTAGCTTTAGCTTTAAAAATATATATTGTGTGATTATCTGTTACAATATGTAGCCATTATAGAAAGAAAAAAGGGGGTTGAAATTAATTTTGATTTTTTTTGTTACATGGTTAACCTGACAGTCAAACACTGAGCCCATATACAGCTGGTGTTAGGACAGAGAAAATAACAGATAAAATATAAAGTTTTACTTTAAAATACTTTTGAATTTCATTTAGGAGGTTATCCAAGAAGATTTTTATTTTTTACATGAAAGTCACCTTGCACTTGGACTGACTCAGTTAAGGCTTCATAAAATTCTTTAGTAAAAATTAGGCTTTTTTGTATACAACAAGACTTATAATGTCAGAGCTCATGGATGAAGATGAGTAACTAGCTGACTCATCTGATATATGGGCTTCGACTAAGACTGTTGTCATACTGGTCTTAAACTTTCCTGAGTCACTGCAGCTCCATAAGACTGCTGGTTGCCAACATCATCTTGGCTGGAAAAGTAGGTGTTCATCACAACCAAATGTCCAGACAGATAGTGTCACAAATGGTATCAACTCAACCCCAAGCCACCATAACAACACCATAAGCTTCCCCTCTTCAAATCCAAGTGGAACTGTCAGAGATCTCAGGAAATCAATAACAATTCATGAGGTGCCATTCCTTGGTATCAGCTCATGTGCCTGTCTCTCTGATGGGAACACTATATTCAATAAGCTAAGAAGAACCGAGAACTGAAGCCTAGTTAAAAGTCTTTTAAGTGCTGGGAGGTGGAGTTAACCTCTAATAATGGCTCCAGCCATTATTAGTCTCAAAGTGGGTTCCTTGTCATCGAAATTGGAGTTAACCTCTGTTGGTGAGGCCAAGGCATCATCCATGTAACTACAAGTTTTAATAGAAAGCATCTGCAACCTTCTATATCAGTTTCTATGTCAGCTGCTCTTCTGTTCCACCACTAATCAAGTGGTCCTGCAATTTATTGCTAATTCTGCAATCATTTTATTGATGTTAAAATAAGATTTAATTGTACACGTCAGTGGTGTACGAAGGAGTTTTAAAATGGAGGTGCTTGGCTAGACATGCAGATTTTACAATGAGAGATTGAAAGTATAAGGAGTTGCTAAGAGCAACTCTCATTCTGCCAAAGGCAGCTCAATCTAGGAGGGACTGGGGCATGCTCTCTAGAAAATTAATATAATTGACAGTTGCTATGTATGTCAAATATGTAAAAGTGTGTGCACTACAGCACCCCAGTTTCAATGCATATGTGGTGCTTATTGAATTTACTTAAAACAGCTAAATATATGATAGTTTATGTATGTTCTTTACTGGGGCATTGTTACGTACTTTAAAGGTTTTTAGTTTTCCTGCTCTTGATAGATATTTGAAGAAATCACAGCTTTTCAGGTTTTTCTGAAATTTTTGTTTATTTGTATGATATATTGATCACTAATGTGATCATTTCCGAGTACATGAAGATTAGGCTACAATGTAACATAAGGGTAACATACTTGACATTGATTGCACATGCAATCAAAATGTTATACAAATACACAATAATTTCAGATGAAACTACTGAAAAGCTTGTGATTTCTTAAAATAATGCTATTACATGTATGATTTTTTAAATAAATAAATATATATATACATATATAAAGTTTACTTGGGGTACTTAATCATGTGCAGAAATTTTTAGTTTTATATATTTTATTCTCTTTTTCCTAGATTAATCAGCTTCTAAGATATTTGAATGTCAGTAGAAAGTTTGAAGATTTAGCTACACAGGTAATTATATTCAAATATTATGCACACTTGTGTTTTGAAAATTTCCAAATAAATCTACATACATATTTGAACTAGACTGAGTGGTCAACATTTGGCAAATTACAGATCAGATCTGAAGAATGAAAATTTGAGGAATTTCTGTTATATTTGTGGGTACAAATGTTGAATGAAATATTTTGTCGATATCATTGGTATTTGAGATATTAAATGTAATGTTTTTTGAATGAAGTAAATAGAAGCTACTTGTAAATTTTTCAATATTAAAAATTAAATTTAAAGTTAAAAATGTGTATGAACATCCACTGCTGAAGTGACAAATTGTATAGTGTAATTGGAGTGTCTGTCAGTTACATAGATTTTCGTTAGTAATGCATCACCAACAGAGTTGTTGCTTTTTTAATTGATTGTACTGTTTTTGTCCTTTTTGTTAAGATGTGATTCTTATTTCACTGGCCCATATTGTGAAAGGTAAAAACATTGATGTTTGGAGTATTATTCTTATTCCCAAATACAAATGAATACTTTCACTTTTTACTCTGCCATTTGTGTTTGTTAATAAACTGATTTACTTTGGTCTTAATGTATAGTGTTTTTTTATTACCATTACACATTCTTATTCAGTACTTATTATTCTTACTTAACTATACATTTTTGTGATAAGTGTGAAATTGTACTCTATCTCGAACTCAGTTCTTTCTTTGGTGGGAAATTCACCTAGTTAACAGGTGACTCATGACTCTTTTCTGACAAACAAATTACAATTGATATTTAAAAGGCATTATGTGATTTTGACAGCTATAAAACGTTCAGCTTTGAACACAAAAGTTTTGAAGTTGAATAATATTCTGATTTACAGATATTAGTTTCATGTTTTTTCACAAAATACTCATAGAAAAATCACTCAGTTTTATCGTTTTAACACTGTCATAAAATAGTCATAATAATCTGCTGATTTAAATCTGAATTTTTTAGTTTTTAAGTATAAGAATGTAGTAAAGAAAAATAAATGCACTATTAACAGAAATATATACATCTTTAGGTTTTGTTTTAATTTTTAGAGAAACCAAATACACACTGTATAATATGCATTAGTAACAAATATATAACTTACTCTTGTTAAAACTTTGATAATTTTATTGTGATCAAAATACCATATTTATAGGTAATTAGTCGAGAAATGTTCCCTCATGACTTGCAGGTTGAACCAAGAAAGGAGCAGTATTTCACAAATGATTTGGAGGTAAGTTTGTAGATCTGTCCAGTCTTTTTACTAATCCAACATATTCACTGTATGTGCACAAATACTGTAATAGTACTGAAGAAATTTATAGTAATTCAAATAGTTCTTGTAACTGATCAATCCAAAATAAAGGAAATGAAATCACTTAAGCTATGACTTTGGACCATTTTCTGATAATCTTTATGCATTTTTCATACCATTGACCATATACTAGAGATGTTTTTAAAGAATTTTTCCTAAAGGTTAACATTTTCCTTAGATGAAAATGTATTTCAGATAGATATCTTTCTGCATTACTAAGAGCTATTACTTCATGTGCAACTGACATGGAATTTTCTGCACATGCCTCAAGCTTTGAACAAACTCCCACCTCTACACGTGTCAGTATGTATCACACCAGCTTGTGATGTAATCATCATAATGCTTTAGCCCTCTACTAATAATAAGGAGACACAACCTCCATGCACAGTAATTCCCATGAGCGCTAGCACATGATCATTCGTAATGAGACAAACAAAATGCACAAGAAGTGGGAAGGAAAAGCGGGAGGTTTTGAGGAGAGATATCTATCTGTCTGAAATACAGAAACGATATTTTTCTCTTTGCATCACTAAGAGCTAGAGTTCCACAATGAAGATGGTGGAGGGGCTGGTGCAGATCAAGTGCAAAGATGAACTAATTTTTGAAATAGCAACAGAAAGGGAAAGCCTATGGGGTGTGACTTCCATGAGACCTAAGGTTGCCTAGTAGAGCAGCATGTGAATGGAGATTGCATCTGTCCCAAGCAGAGAATACTCTTTGCCCAATTTTTTTTTTTATTTGTTGTAGTAGAGCAAAGAATATTTGGAAAATCAAGTGTTGTTGGTTATGTGTTGCAGACAGTTATAATGTGTAGTGTGGCTAGGGCTTTAGGCTGTTCTTTCTTGGTCAAATATTTACATGAGGTAGAAACTATCTCTCAATGGGTTACCATGACTAAAGACAGCAAATGTGAGCCAGGTTTAAGGGCAGTACAACATCTGATGCTGTCTGTTTTTTGTTTGTTTTTAGTAAAAGATGCAAAAATGGCCAGGTCAAGTATATGAGATACTGTTAAAGCAGTCTTGCAGAAAACCCGATCTTAATGGAGGGCAATAAGCAGGGATGGATGGGTGTAACACTTTCCTTATCTTTACTCCCCCACTTGATGCAGATTTCAGGTACTTCCTTTATGGCAACACTGGCCACAGAGTTGACACCATACATGATTAATTTGTTGTTTCATTCTGCATGTTAAGTGGGCATTTTTGTTGTTGTTGTGGTGGTTTTTCTTCTCCTTTTTGGTATGTTTTTATTTCTTTTTTCTGGATGTGTTTGAAACAATTGTTACACATATGGTGATGTAATGAAATGTATCAGGGACATTGAGAACATTACAAAATTAGTGATGGAGCTGGAATCTAAAATAAACAAGCAAAGCTCATGACTAGAGCCTCTTGGTGGACTGGAGAATGTTGTCTGGAGTGAGGTGAAAACTAGAAGCACATAAAACTGCCCAGCAATGTAAGTCACAGGGGATGAATGTGCAAGATCTCCTCCAATGATTGGCATCAGAAGGAAACAAGAGGGACTGGGTTATGTTAAATCTGATGGGAGGTATCGTTAAAAAGTATTTGGTTGAATTCACTCAAAGAGGAATACTCCAGTTGGAAGACTTGATGAATTCAACTATTGAAAGTGGAAGGGGATAAACCTCTAGAGGAGGAGGTAAGCCATGAGAAAAATTGACAATGGTGTCAACAAAAGGAGGAAGCTCAATCAGGATAATAACATTCCACCCTAACTGGATACAAAAAATTAGTGGGAACAGAACAGTTGTTTAATGAGGAAATAATGGAGAGAGATGGGAGAAAACAACTGATTACCCTCCTAGGCAGCCCAAGTATTTAGAAGAAAAGAAAGGGCATGGAACAGATCAACTGATCCACATGACATAAAGTACAGGAGGCAGCAGAAGTGTAGATATTTCAAGAAAGACATCTACAAGTGAGTAGAAGATGAAACAGAGGGGAGAGGTGTGGATAATGCTAATTGTTAACTGGCAATGGTCTAAATGGATAAGACCTCATAAAAAATCAGGTGAAGCATAGGTCCCAAAAGTGGGTGCCTCCCTGATGGTTGATGTGAGAAACAACTGTAGCAGAGTCAAGATGGATCATCATGACATGACTCAACAGCTATGACTGAAGATTTTGGCATGCTCAATGAAAAAAAGTGTCTATAACTAGAAATTGCTCCTCTGGAGGAGAAAATTTTTTGGAGTGAAAGTGTTGAGAACTGCCTCCAGACCACAAATGAAGGCATCAGTGGAAAGATGCAAGTCGGGTGGAGGGGTACACCCTGGGTTGTGTTGGAGCAATTGATCCACCACAACAGAGAGGGATAAAAAGATGAATACAGAGGCCCAAGGGTAAAAAAAAAAACTCAGAGGAGGATGGTGAGGACACATAAGATCAAAGTGAAGAAGACAGATAAGAGAATGAGGAAGTGGAACACAAAATAGCAGGGACAGATCTTAAGAAAGAACCTGCATAACCGAATGGTTGCCAGTGAAGGGAGGCTACAGGTATGCAGGGGGGTGGGGTGGCCACCTTCCCAGAACTAAGACTTGCCCGCACAAGTAGGCTATTGCTAAGTATTGCTATGGTTCATGGGAGGGAGAACAATGAGTAGAAATCTATAGGATGAGGAACATGAGAGAGGTAACCCATGTAATTCTTGAGATCAGATAGCCAATTGAGGTGTCTATGGTATTGTTTATTTGTGGTTAGTGTTATTTTTGAATTTCAAATACCCAGATTTTCTACTTTAATATTAATATGACCCTTTAAATTTTTATTACAGTGTGTGTGTGTGTGCGAGTATAAATACAAATGTATAAACACATGGGAAGAGTGCAAGACTGTGTGTGTAAATATACTATAGTAGATGCATCACAATCAGAAATATTCCACGTGTCTTACCTTATATTACAGATAATACAAGAAAATAAAAAATTCTATAGCCAATATATAATGATGACTTTTTAAGCTTTATGTGTACGATAAATCACTTGAACTTTAGTTATACTCTTACATAAGCCAAATATATTGTGCATAATGTATTTTCTATCATTTCATGCTATGTTCTAGAGGACCACAGAATCCATGAAAGTCCAAAACCAATTTGAAGATCAGTGGTTTGGCTGGATTTCTGACTATCAGTGGTAAGAAGATAACTCCATTGTCTTTTCTTTTGTTGTAGTTATGGATTTAACCTGTGTGTGTAAATATTGATTATTTTCAATTATACAAGTGAATTTTGTTCACCTTAAAGTAATGAGTAAACAATGTGTACAATTTAATGAACATAATGCATCATATTTGAAAATCATACAGATGTGTATATATATAAACATTCTTGGTCAGTTGTTAAAAAATTATGAGCAAAGTAACGAGTGTAATTATCAGAAACCATTTCATTGACTTACAAAGACATCTTATCATCGGAATCTGTCTACTGCATCAAGAGAAAGAGGATAGGTCTGTGTCTAGAAAAAACTGGCTGGCAACAAGAAAAGAGATAAAGATGATTGGACAGGCTTAGAAATTTCAACAGACCTCATAGATCCAAAAATATGTATATAAGGCCAGAAGCAATCTATACAAATGTTTCAAAGCAAGTGATATAGCAACATGATTTAATTAACTCTATTTTAAAGCAACAAATGATATGAAAACAACATTATAAAGATGATAATTTGTTGAATGGTGTTTGGTAATCAATTAATCAACAGGGTTATTAATTGATTAGTACACCACACCCCTACAACCTGTAAAAGACAAAAAAAAAACTGAAAAAATTGGTATGTACTCGCCGTCTTTTTCAACCACTGCATTGTTCTAACATGATATTAATTTTCCTGTTTTGTTTTTAAGTAATGTTTGAATTACCCTTCATTTCAAATGATAGACCTTTTCTGAAGGTTGCCATTTGTGCATTTACAAAAAATGTTTTTTGTTTAAAAAAAAAAAGATTTCACACTGTATTTTAAAGAAAGAACTAAACATCAACAGGATACCTTTATTAAGCCTTAATCAGTCTCCAGTCATGTGACTTCATTGCTTCCTACTGTATATTACTTCCTGTGTCTAAGTAGGGTACTTAAATCAGATGATGATGAAACCTTCTCCAAACACGATATATTTTAATTACGTTTTCTTTTTTACCCATTCAACCCATCTGTTAAACTGTATAAGCTTACCTACCTTATCTCAAGTTAACTGATGTCTTCTCATTAAATATAATTTCTGTAGCTTTCACAAGTACTTTAAAAATTCACAATGAAAGGAATGTTTTTAAATCTGTGTTTTTATTAGTAAATAATTAAACCACCTGATATGGCTCCATAGCAAGGTTTTGTTTAGGCCTGTACAAACACTAAGGGAAGCTCTTGAAGATCAAGAAATGGATAATGTATTCTCAAGGGATAAGTTCTTAGTAAAAATAAAGTTATTCTTTGGGATGGGCAGAAAAAAACAAAATCGACAAGTTGTTTTGTTTGCAGCTGTTCAGAAATTAAAATATCAACTTATTTCTTCATGAATTACACCAAGTAAGTATCAGAATATGACAAAATATTGATTCTAAAATAATTTTGTGTTAAAATTGTTTAAATATTTAGAATTAACATATACAAAATTTGTGGCAAAATATATGAAAAACTAGAGGAAATTCTGTCTTCAAGTACCATAATTCAGGAGTAAATTTTTTTCATCCTAAACCATTGTTCATGAAAAGGTATTATACATGCAAAGTAGTTCAAAGCCTGTAACAACCTGAAAATAATATGATTAATAGCATTCCATGGATTTCTCCTTACAAATATCCACAAGACTGCTGTACTGAAACTACCGAACTTTTGTTGATGAAAATAAACATAATACTTCATGAAATTTTCAAACAACAAATTTTTATAAAAAGGTAATAAACTTTATCACCCTAAAGACATCAGTAATGAAATATAAAACAAATAGTTTCACCTACATCATGTGTAATTTAGTTGATTACTTCTTTTACTGTTGGAAATAAAATTATTTTTCTAAACGTGCAAAAATCTGTATCTGATATTTGAAGAACAATACCGAAGTCCATGAAGAAAATAACAGAGAAATGTCAAAAGCTTGTAAGATGGAGTACTTATGGCAAACATTTTTATATATCATTCATGTATGTTGCAAATTATGTTAAACTTATCTATAGATCCTCAATGAGTTTGTTGTAGTTAGGGTAAAGCATTTAAGATACTTCTTTTTGTAGTCTCTGAAAAGTGATGGAGATTCCATACTGGCAAGATTTCTATTTCTTCATTTGCAAGATGAGAATTTATGTTGAGTGGGCCTTCATGCTGCTGCAAGAGTGGCTGAGTACCTTTTTTTGTCACAATTTTACAATGAATCACAGGCTCCAGAAATTTCCATCAATCCTTTTGAGAATCACTCTCTAACTACTCCCCAGTTATGTTATCCAAAATAAGGAGATAAAACTATTGATGTCGATGATTTTTTTAAGGTGCATTTACAGCCTTGTTTGGTGTTTCAGATGAGAGTTGCTGAGGTTTTGACAACTCTTTTTGTTTTGGGGGTTTTTGCAGTGTTATGTTCTTGGCAGGCTTCTGTAATTCCTATCCCAGTCTTCTTCACTTCTGCATTTTTCTCTAGTATACTGAAAGCTTTTGCAAGCATGATATACACACACCTTGGAGTCATTTGTGAGAGACATGAATTGCTTTCAGAAATCCTTGGAAGATAATTAAGCATGAAACAAACAGCACTATTTTCATATGTTGATGAAGACTACTTTTCGCCTTGTTCACCAAGTTGTTTCAGACACCACCTGATGGGGCTGTACTGCATTTTTATAGCAAGCACATTTCCACTTGTACTCCCAACATGTTTCACCTGGCTGCACAATCTTTTGATTATTTAAACCAAAAGCTTTCTGTATCTCGAGAAACATTTGGCAATTGGTTAATTCTGCAAACACATAATACAATTTCTCAGTTACTTTAAAAAACTTATTGAAGCCAGTTTTACTTTACGGCATTCTCCAAGAACAAGGTTGAGTTTGTGTACCATACAATGTACATACATTGCCAATAGATGGAATTGCAGAACCCCGGTATGGTGTCCTGACATCACTGATACACCATTGTTAGACTGTGCAACTATTTACAGATTTTGAAATCTTGTCATATCTAAACTTTTCTTTGTAGCAGTATAAATGCTGTTTGCTTTTTGAGAAGACGAACAAGTGATGAAACACAAAAATATGTTTTTCATTTCTACATTTTCTGCATATCTAATACAAAGAGAAAGCTGTTCTGTCTTAAACAACCTGACCTCATCTACAATACTGCTGAAGAAATCAGTCTTACTCACTGCCCTCACACTTTCTTTGCAAATCAAGTTGGCACAAATTTGTAACAGTTCATTTTGAAAGTCAGAGCTTGTGTAGTAAAATACCTTCCTGCATTTTCATGAAAGATTCATTGTACTCTGAAAAGAAATCTTAAAATTCAAGGAAATTCCCTTTATGTTTAGATTTTTTTTCTGTTGCTGTGCCCTTGAAATGGTAAACCAAGTTTGGCAATTAACGTGACTGTATCACAGACCTTTGTAAGATAATTCTTGTTTCTCTCAATGGTAGTTTTGTGACTTGCCCAAAGCCACATAACTACTGAGCCAGTATCTTCACTACGTGTGAAGAATTGCCACTTTTCCCTACATTTCACATGAATTTGGGAAACAGAATGTTTAGACAATTTTTCAAACAGCTTTTTCCAATCTTGCACACCATTTTTTGTAAACAAATCATCCACATAGCCTGTCTGTGTATGGACATTACGGTACAGAAAGTGAAAAACAGCATCATGTTGAACTGAATATTCAATTCAAGGAGTTTTGATATAGTTGGAAACAGAAAAAGAATGGCTATGTTTCCCAAACCTTTTTTGGGGAAAAGTAGGCAAATGTGGTTGAGTTTGTCCATTGCATTTTTCTCCACGGAACGTAGGGCTGGTGACAATATATTTTAGTCATATTAGTGGTTGTTTAAGAGGAAGTACTCACTGCATCCAAAGATAATTGATTTTCTTGCTGTACTGATTCTAAAATGCTGTCAGAAATTGATACTGCTGATAAATTGTTTGGGCCTGAAGGTGTTGTAAAATTATGCTTTTGGCAATCCAGTTACCACTGGTGCTTTAACTGTGTTTTTACTAAAGAAAACCTTGGAAATATGCATGAACAGCAGAAATTTTCCTTACAGTGTGAAAAAATGCTGAAATTAACTGCTTTAAATTATGAAATGATCAATACTCTAGTTTTAATTTTGTCTCATTGTTGCTAAATGATTATGCCTTGTTGAAATCAACCACAAATATTACTATGCCTGTGGAGAAGTGGAAGTTGTAGCCAGCAGTGAGCTGATGTGTGGAAAGTTTTTATGGAAGATTTGCCGAGATTTCTTTATGTGTAATCGACCAATGGTATGATAATTTTGGGAGAGTAGGAGTCATTTTCAGCTAGGAAAATCTTATTTTTCTCTCAGGGTAGCTAGCCATTGGTATGGGTTGCATTCACATGTGGTGGATGCAGTAAATATTAGGTCATCAAGAAACTAATGTCGCATTTTGGAATACTTTCATTACCCCCCCAAACCCCAAAAAAAACGTACATCATATATACTAGTTAAACAAACTGCCTCAACGTCACGTTAGTGTAGCCTATATAATGTGTAAAGTTTAGTAT